TCACTGTATATAATGAACACGTCATTTGCTGTTGTATCGGGCCAATATGCCTAAACATGACTAATTTCAATAATTTCTATACCTAACTTTAGTTGAATATGACAATGATAAGAAAAGAGAACCAGTGGCAGATGTTAGAAGCCACACAAAACGTTCAATTGTTTTTTTTGAGTGATATATAAATAATAGTGAGTGTAGTATATTATATTTTTCTACAGTGTTCCAAGAATGCAAAATTAGACTACATTACTAATAAATAAAAAACAAAATTAAGCAAGACAACAAAGAATACTTAGCTGACACTGCAAATTCATAAAGACAACAAAGAACAATGCTTAGCTAACACTGCAAATCCAAGATACTCAATTGCTTTTCTCGAAGGAAATCTGATCTACTGGGTAACATTATTTTGCTGCTCCATGGAGTGGAGTCAAATCGAAACATTCTTTATTCCTTTTTTGGTATTTGGGGTGCTGACAATTCCCACTCACAGTTTCTTAATGACTTTTTTAGTTAAACATTGTACCAACTGGCAAGAAGCCTATTTTAAAAAAAAGTTGTTTTGGGCAATTGATGTGGACTTCACTCTTGAGAATTCATGAGCTAATTGACTCAATTTCTGTTTAATAAGTTAGAGTGTGTTGTTTTTTTTTCTTTTATTCATTTTCAGATAACAAATAACACAGCAAACTTTATATGAACTACCCGGTAAACCTATAAAAAGGGACATTATGGAATAACCATAATTTCCATAAGGCTTCAAATATTTGGAAATGCTTAAATCCCGGTCTTAAAATTTCTCTATTGTCTTCTTTTATAAAATGCTTTGAAATTTTTTTATCAAACAGCTTTTAAAATCATTGTATCTCAGTCACCTTCTGAGAACTTAACTCGTCTGAAAACAGTAGATTAACTGAATAGGTTTATTTGGGCAAATGTAATGTGATCAGCTGCCTCACTATTTATTGACTGCGACCCTTAGCAGTTCACGAGGGTGCCAATTGTAAATAAATTAAACAAAAACCTTAATGAAGAGGAAATAAAGAAGCGACTTAGTGCTCATCTTATATTAAGATATTCACTTTGAAAGTAAACTTGTAAAAATCAGGAAATCCTTACTGTTAAGCATTTAAATACGAAACTATTAGAAAATATATTTATTTGGATGTGGTGTTAACAAAATAAGAAAGAAAAAACAAAACAATAATCCCCTTCAAGCAAATTTCCACTGGATTAAGTCCGGTTTAACCCTGGCTGTTCTCCTGTAGTTTCTGGTTGTGGAGGCTGGCTGTCTACCCAGAGACAAAGCCTGGATTAAGTGCAGTGTGGAACCGCAAATCACCAGCTGGGCTCCTGTTTAATACTAGCAGACGAAAGCCTGTTTTTCTAATGCCTGACATTTGCAATTACACATACACATATTTCTTTGCAAAACAGGTACACAAATCAATAATAACACAGATTTTTACAAACAAAAACAAATTTGCTTGCAGAGAGAACTTGCAATTTAATTATAATGTGTAAGAAAGCATTTATGCATTATTTTCTAGTGATTGATTAAAAATTATACAAATAAATAACTGTCTAGCATCTTTTCTTCCCCCCTTGCATCTTCGTCACTCTGGGGAAATCTTTCCCAAATGTGGACGCTTTTCCCACTTCAGCTTGCTCTTTCCCTTGCCCCGACTTTCTAGCTGTCCTTCCTATGGGACCAACCTTTTCAACTCCGTAACAATCCCATGAGTACTGCCTCCCTACTTAAACTCATTGTAGAGTCGGTTTCACTACGCAATAAACTCTTTTATGTTTTTGCCATTTGTGTCTGCACACTTATTTTTTTTAGCTGCTAATGAATGCTGAATTACTGAACACAATCTCCGACACTCTTACGGTGGCCGCTTTCCCACACGATCAAAGAAAGGTACCTGCACAATAACAAAAAATAAATAATGATAATATAATAAAAAAAAGAAAGAAGTAAATTAAGGGCTTTATCCACTAAACTCTAAATTGAAGCACGTTGAAATCTAAATTGCAAAATTTAGGAAAACATAACTGTTTGAAGAATTTCTCTAATTCAGCTTTAATTTTTAGATATTAAACACTATGTGAAAAATAAATAAAGTATAATTCCTTAATGTTTTTCTATTCTGTGACGATCATCCTAATCTATCCAAAGTGTAGTGGCAAATTGACAGGAGGCACATGTGAGGGAAAATGTAAGAGGCTATCATAATGTAGTATAATTATTAAATTATATTCCTTAAACCTGAAAGTACCAAATAACTTAAAAGATAAACTACTTTTAGAAGTATCTCAAATGGTAAAGTTGATTGAGAAACATCATCCAGTGTTAAGATCTTTGAAAACATCAACTGTGGAAAAACATGCTGGAAAATAGAATTCTAATTATTTATTGTTCTTAATTTTGTTTTTGCACTTTTGTTATGGCATCGTAAAACAGCAGAGTGCATTCTGTTTTAAGTTAAATAAAATGCATGTTTTTAATTGAATTACCATATGCATTTTATTTACTTGCGTTATATATGAGCTACATTAATCTTTGGACCATATTACGGTTTTGTCTATAAAGCCATCGACATTTAAGATACCGGTAAAAAAGATTTTATATTGTAAAATATTTGGTACTTGGTAACCCCTTAAAGACCAATGATGGTTTGTGCCATTGCAGCAATCTTTTTTTATTAAAACCGTCAGTAAAACAGAATGTATGGGAAACCATTCAGAACCCCAGGTGGTTCACTGAGCCCACAGGAATTGTAGTTAAGGATGCACACACAAATATATAGAATCTTTACGAAATACTCATTTCGTATGTGTTAAAATGTCATTGAATTTTAAACCCAGTCAAGAGATATACTGAGATTAATTAGGGACTATTTTGACTCTGTAGATTTCTTACGCCTGACACTTCAAGACACTAGGCGGAGCTACCACTGTCTAGAAGCATCAATCCCCCCTGCTGTCACCAGTGATGGCTGCAGAGAATTGGCTGTTTATAGACAATCCTGCAGTCTCACAAGATCCTCCACAGACCTCAATGCTGTAGCAAGAATTCAGCAGTGATGTCGGCTCCTGGTGCTGAAGTGCCAGGAGCTGATGAGGACCCGCCGGAAGAATATGGTTGCGCCTGCGAGGGATAGGTTCAGGAAAGTAGGACTCACCTACACCTGCTCTCCCTGGCCACAGAACCCCCAGCGGCAATATTACCCTCAGGGGTCTTTGTGAATTCCGCAGAAAACACAAGATAAAGATATAAAGTAATGCTCTTTGAAACAAGCATAATCGTGTATATTGACCGGTACTGTGTCCCATTACAGTCTCAGCAATAACAAAATTCAAATCAGAACAAACTACACTTGCAAAAAGAGGCATTGGCCAAAAACAGATGCTCACTGACATGCATAAACTGACATTTCACTTATAAGTTGCTAAATTCAACAAAAGAACACAAAATCAAATGATCACATAATTAAAAGAGCATCCCTGTTACCAGGTTTTAAATGTTACTTTCTAAGCTAAATTTCATGGCATGTATGCAAGCTGGTAACTGACTGTACTTAACTAGGCTCTCTAAGCACTATAACCACTACAGCTTACTCGTAAACATATGTGCAAGAATGCTCAGCAAGTTCCTGGTTTGGTTGGATGTCATTGGAGAAGGATCATACACCAGAGTTTGCTGCAATAGATAGACATTCCGAAGATGAAGTTTAATATATATATATATGCATATATATATATAGATATAAAAAGAGATATGAGATATAAAGAGATGAGAGACCTAATTGGGGTCGAAACGTTGATCGGGACTTTCTATATGTTTTTTTCAATTTATTATAGTAACACAGTGATTGAAAAAAAATGTATTTTTTTTTATAATACACTACAAATGGTAGGTAACATATTCTGGAAGCCCAAATTTAAAATAATAACATTGAAAATGTGGTATATGCTTTGTACTCTCCATTTAAAATAGATGATGTGTAGCAAATATTATCTGAATGCAACTTTAAGGTGTTTGGCTGGTGCTCAGCTGATGCCATCTGTGCTGGTCAGAGAATGAAGATTGGGAACACTTCCAATAAAATTTTTAGACAAATAATCTTCTATAGTGCTTCTAACCTGTCATAGTACAAAAATACATAATTTCCCAAGTGCAAAGTCTCACATCAAAGTCAGTTTAATAGTGGCACATTTAACCAATAAATGTGATCGGTTTCATAGATATAACAGACAAATGATTGATCAGTTTTCATTTTCATAATGTCTTTTAATGTTGTATCATAAACATGACAAAGCACTCTCAAGAGAGTCAATAGCACAACAGATTCTGCATGACTCAGTATTATCCTAGATAGAGGGGGGAAAAGTTAACATAGTTATGTGGCACAGCCATTTGTTAACAAATGTTCTGGAGGATCAAATGGGACCAAATATGATTCAGTGTTTATCTCCAATATATCTACAAATCAGAGATGGGTCTATCACACGTCTACACATCTCTCCGAAGGTCTGGGTTCTTTGTTAGGGGTTTTCTATATGGCATCTCATTGTATGTGGAAAACCTGGTTTACAAAAGCCAAGAATATGTTCAATCACATTTTTGTAATTATGTGGGTCTTGTTATATCTGACCCGAGTGTGTGCTTTAGGGTTTTCCAAACTTGAACCTACATGTTTCATTGAGAGATGTGGATGTTAGGTTGTCTTCTACCCTGAGGACTAGTTTTTGTTTTGTTTTTCAAATTGTTTTATTATTTTTAATTTGTTTAGAAATAAACATGTCCACATTTGGTTGATCCAAAGAGATGTCTCCTCAACATTTTGGAATCTATAAGGAATTTCCCCCCTGGTTTCTGGCACAGTTGGAGATTAGTGATGTCCCGAACGGTTCGCCACGGACGGCGAACATATGCGCTGTTCTGTCTGCCTCCTATGTCATCATTGAGTAAACTTTGACCCTGTACCTCACAGTCAGCAGACACATTCCAGCCAATCAGCAGCAGACCCTCCCTCCCACACCCTCCCCCCTCCTGGATAGCTCAATAAGAATGCAGCTTCACAATTAATGTAAAATGGATACTGTCCATGAAGTGGGAGGGTCTGGGAGGGAGGGTCTGCTGCTGATTGGCTGGAATGTCTCTGCTGACTGTGAGGTACAGGGTCAAAGTTTACTCAATGATGACATAGGGGGCGGACCGAACAGCTCATAACTTCACCGTCCGCGGCGAACCGTTCGGGACATCACTATTGGAGATGTATTGACATTCTGTGCCCAGGTCCTATATTTACTTACCTGGATTGTAATGCCAATTGCTACAATGCTAATATACATTTAAAACTGAGCATGACGTGAGAAAAAGTTGAGCACAAGTTATAGGTGATTTTCAAGGTTTTATTCAATGATAACATTTCCAAAGAAGTGACAGTCACTCGAAATGCCAATATATTTTAAGTTAAAGTTTCAAAAAGACACCTTTAAAATTTGTTTAAGTTGCAAATAAAATTTTTGATGCAACCCTACACCTGGTTTTGTTCTTAGTGTGTTTCCATACCTCTCTTTAGATTGAGACAGCTATGACGTAGTCTACTTACTAAGAAATTATTCAGTAGAACAGGAAGAAAGCACTAATGTGGCATTTAATACTTATAGGAACAAATAGAAGAATTAGACAGAACAGAGGAGGCTGTGGAAAGTAAAAATGGGTTGTGTTAGAAGGTAGGAAGTTAATTGATATGTAAGAGGATCAAGTTACTAATAAGAAAATTAAAAAGACAGGCTTCTACAGCCTGAAAGCAGATTGAGCTGAAGGAAATGGGTTTGAGAAGAACGAAATAGAGGAAGAGTGGAAAGAGCTCAGAGCGAAAGGTTGATATAAATAAAATGAGGTGATATAAAAAGTTAGGAGAAAGAAAGATTTATATCCAGGAATCAAAAACTGGATATGGATGGGGTACTGAGATGTACACGCAAGGAAAATACAGAGAATTAGTAATGAGCAAAAACGGTTAATTCTAGCTTTCTAATGTCATATAGTATTTTTATAAGAAAATAAACACTTAAAGTTGCTCTGTCACTTTAGCGCTCTTTACTTTTTCTGCAAAGTCCTCCAATGGTGACAGGTCTACTTAATCTGTAGTGGCCCCTGGGAAAAGGTAAAGAGGGAAATAATAAAAATTAAAAGTCAAAATGGTGCTTATTTAAATTTTTTTTTTTTTTTTAAATTTAAGTAATATAGCAGCACCTATCAAAGTGCAATAGCTCATGAAATACACTACAATAACATAGAACAGAATTAAGGTGAGCTGTAACTTTAAACATCTTTCATGAGTATTCCCACTCTCATATAAAAAAAGCACTATGCCTTTAAGGTGAAAAAGACAGTAGTGCAAAAAAAATCCTGTGCCCTATTGTTGCAATAAAGTGCATCAAACAAAAGTGCAAAACATTAGTGTACACACACTTCCTTGTAACGTGCATACATATATATATATAATAAAGTGCTAAGTGTAGACACACTTGATACAAAAGTGCATTAAACATACAGTGCAACATTTACTTTAAAGTGGTTAGAATTCACTTACAAAGCTCATTCCGTTCATAGAATATATGTAAAGAAAAATATATAGTGTAATATTGTAAACACCCATATTTATTTTTGTTGTGCGCACATTAACAATACAGGCTTGCCTTGAGACGAAAGCATCAACAAGCTTAATTATAACCAAAAATGGTAGTCATTAGTATGGCAGGAGAAGTAACAGCACTTTGTTTTTGATAAACATGCAGAAACAGGTTAGTGGATGCAAGAAAAATTGATTGTGTATTAAGTAGCATATAGGTAAAGAATAACATGTCTGTGAGATTGTGTAGTAGAGGCAGCATTGCAAATATTGATAAAAACATGTTAGGAGTATCGCATGTTGTATAAGAAATAAAAGAAAAAGAAAATTGCTAACTGCAAGCCTGTTGTACGCTTCACGATAGGCCGGTTTGTCATAAATGTAGAACTAATCTAGTATATTACGAAAGGTTATAGATTTTATCAAGCTTGCATATAAGCCTAAACATGTGCAGCAATGAGGGAATAGCAAGCAGGCTTTGTAGGAAAACAGATAGAATTCCACTGGGCACCTGTCATGAAATAGAGTGAGACAAAGATTAATATGGATTTCCCTGCACTGTTAGCGGGGTTAGTTACGAACCGAAGCTCTGTCGCCAGAAACTCATCCGATGCCACTCGTTGGCCACGCTTTACAGTCTATCTCCAGACCAGGCATGATGGTGCTTCCATCCTGTGATACAGAATAGTACCAACTTTGTTGCTGCCCAAGGAATAGTAGGCTCCTGCAGTCTCAGCTCCGGGTTGTGATGGGAGCCAGTTCCTTGCGTCCACAGATCCCTTCACTCCAAATGGCAGGGTCGTCGGCCCGCAAGATCACTAAAGTCTGGGCCTCCTCACGGGTGTGTGGACTTTGGCGTCTCTCCACGGAGTACACAGCATCTGGCATACAGGCGAGGTGAGACAATCTGCTTGCAATGCGGTCCTGAATGTCTGGCAGAGTGTGTCAAATCTGGCTTCAAATTGTGTCTTCCAGTCCTGGCCCACCGAATCCATGGGGCCCTGCTGCAGCTCCATTGCGACAGCCATCTTGGTCGCACCACAAGGCACTTGATACAGGAAGCCCTGAGTCGTCAGGTAGAGAGTCCAAGAGGACCACTGGGAACCAGGATATGCCCCATCAGTTCAAGCGGGGGAGGGTAACGAGCTGTTGCTGGTCAGCTTCAGGATCAGTGCCCAGTGACAGGGATTTGGCCGTTTTCCCCAGTCGCCAGCATGCCTGCCGTAGTAGACCTCAGGCTCGGACGTGAGACATAAGTTGCAGAGTGTCCCCAAATCAGCATTGGATGAGTGTTCTGGGATTTGGCATGGTCTGTAAGTTGTGTATTAGCACTGAAGTTGCGTGAATCCACTTGTAAAGCTTGTTTTAGGCTCCAGTATCAGGGCGCTACAGGAGAACACTATCAGGCCCTGCCCCCTGTAAACACCAACATTAACCTATACATAAATATATGCACACTCACAAACAGGGAGCAGGTGAAGACTGCTCAGGCCATCGATGCTCCAAATAAATCACTTTGGTAAGTATCTTACAAGGAATCCACCAAACAGCAGCTTCCTTCCACAAATCTTTATTAATTAAAATAAATAGAGAGAGGTTTAGTATAACACTCTCTGGAAATCAAGTCACCCACAGACATGTTCAGCATTGTTCGGTTTAATTGCCGACTTTGAACCTCTCATTCGCAACTCCGGGTTCCTGGGAGGCAGAATTATGATGTCCCACACAGCGTAATGAAATCACTTGGAATGACACGTTTCGCCGATCCATTCAGCTTCCTCAGATCTGCCCTCTCACAACCAATGGTATTTATGTCCATTCAATGGGCGGAACTCCAGTTGTGAGTGCGAGGTTCAGAGACAGCAACTGAACCGAACAGTGCTCGGAGTACACCATCTCTAGGGGACATGATTTCCAGAGAGTGTTACATAGTTACATATCTGAAAAGAGACTTGCGTCTATCAAGTTCAGCCTTCCGCACATTTGTTTTTTGCTGCTGTTGAGCCAAAAGAAGGCAAAAATACCCAGTTTGAAGCACTTCCAATTTTGCAACAAACTAGGAAAAAAATTCCTTCTTGACCCCAGAATAGCAGTCAGATTTATCCTTGGATCAAGCAGCTATTACCCTACATTGAAAGATTATATCCTTGAATATTCTGTTATTGCAAGTATGCATCTAGTTGTTGTTTGAACATCTTTATGGACTCTGATAAAAGCACTTCATCAGGCAGAGAATTCCACATCGTTATTGTTCTTATAGTAAAAAAACCTTTTCTTTGCCCTAGACGAAATCTTCTTTCTTCCACTCTAAATGCACAACCTCTTGTCCTATGTAAAGTCCGGTTTGTGAATAGATTTCAACACAATGGTTTGTATTGTTCCCGAATATATTTGTATAATGTTATCTCTCAGGCAACATTTTTCTAAACTAAAGAGGTTTCTATTTGTTAACCTTTCTTCATAGTTTATGTTATGTTAAGTTAAACCTCTCTCTATTTCTTTTAATTTATAAAGACTTGAATTGTAATCCCTACCGGCCGTGCAAACTCACATGATGCTCAGCCAAGTTTGTCAGTCAATCTATCTGTGTGCAGGGTGTGTATATATTAGTACAGTAATACTCCCTCCCTTCCACGTAGACTCCCATGATGCTTAGACAGACAGTCAGTCTGTATGTACAGTGTAATTCTTCCTCCCAGCCATGCAGACTCCTATGATACTCAGCCCTGTCTGTGTGTACAGTGTAATACCGCCTCCCTTCCATGCAGACTCCTATGATGCTCAGTCAGTCTGTGTACTGTGTAATACCCCCTCCCTCCCTTACCGACTCCCATGATGCTCAGCCCTGTCTGTATGTACAGTGTGATACTCCCTGCCATGCAGACTCCCATGATGCTCAGCCCTGTCTGTGTGTACAGTATGATACTCTCAGCCATGCAGTCTCCTATGATGTTCAGCCCTGTCTGTGTGTACAGTGTGATACTCCCTGCCATGCAGACTCCCATGATGCTCAGCCCTGTCTGTGTGTACAGTGTGATACCCCCTGCCATGCAGACTCCCATGATGCTCAACCCTGTCTGTGTGTACAGTGTAATACCGCCTCCCTTCCATGCAGACTCCTATGATGCTCAGTCAGTCTGTGTACTGTGTAATACCCCCTCCCTCCCTTGCCGACTCCCATGATGCTCAGCCCTGTCTGTATGTACAGTGTGATACTCCCTGCCATGCAGACTCCCATGATGCTCAGCCCTGTCTGTGTGTACAGTGTAATACCCCCTCCCTGCCATGCAGACTCCTATGATGCTCAGTCAGTCTGTGTACAGTGTAATACTCCCTCCCATGCAGACTCCCATGATGTCAGTCTGTGTACAGTGTAATACTCCCTCCCTGCCATGCAGACTCCTATGATGCTCAGCCCTGTCTGTGTGTACAATGTAATACTCCCTCCCAGTCATGCAGACTTCTATGATGCTCAGCCCTGTCTGTGTGTACAGTGTGATACCCCCTCTCTGCCATGCAGA